AAATTTGCTACAAGTGAATTGTGTTTGTTTTCCTTCATAAACCAAAAGTAAACATTATTTGCCCACCATTAAACTTGCCCAACAGAATGATTGGCCTGTAGTTTGTTGTTGAGTTTAAATATTTGCTGTTATATTATTCTAAACATTTTCTGAGGTTTATGACCCACCATAAATTAATCAGGTGGGTTTCTAAGTTTAACCAAGGCTTATTGGTTTAGATCTGGTAAAAGAGTTCCCTGATTATGACAAGAAAGGTTTCAGGTCATTCTGACAGCAGAGGGCAGGCTCTAGGGCATAAATGAGTTGGAAAACAGTATTAATAAGGCTTATATGATGTTTGCCTACAAGGTATTCACATCCTTTGGCCAGACAGATAAAGAGAATGGCACTATTCAGCATAAGAGACTGTAATTTATAAACTAAAACCCAAACCCATTGCCAGTGAGTGGATTCCGACTCATGGCAACCCCACATATTACAGAGTAGAACTGCTCCATAAGGTTTTTTTTGGATGTAATCTTTATGGAAGCAAATCGCCAGGTCTTTCTTCCTCACTGCTGCTGGGTGGGTTGGAACTGCCAGCCTTGAGGTTAGCATCCAGCACAAATGTTTGCATCACCCATTCACCCAACCCATTGCCGATGAGTTGATTCCAACCCATAGCAACGCTATAGAATAGAGTAGAACTGCTCCACAGATTCCAAAGAGCGGCTGGTGGATTCAAACTGCCGACATTTTGGTTAGTAGCCATAGCTCAGCGGGTCTCAGGAGGTGAGTCAGGAGGACTGAGGCTTTCAACTTAACCACTGCGCCACCAGGGCTCCCCAAGAAACATTTATTATGTATAAGATACTTAAAATTGCAAGCATACTTTTTCAAGTGCTTATCTAAGCTTGTGAGATGTCATTTTTTAAACAGTTCATTTTTCTTTTATGGAAGTTAAATCTACTTACTACTTGTTTTTGCTCTTTGTAGTCAGTTGGTTTTGTCTATGCAGTTATTTCCCCTTCAGTCTGCCTAAATGGTTTGGGGTCATGTTTTCTATTTTTAACTTTGTCATCTTACTTATTAACTATCAGTTCCTCTAAGTTACTGGTCTGCTTATACCATCATTTTAAATAAAAGTTAAATAGTTGGGAAGATTTAATACATACGTACATTAAGTATGTCCACATTAGAATAATGTTCTTTTTGAATTTAATAAACTTTGAGAGTATTTATGCTGGTGATGGATGAAGGTAACTTTTGAAATTATACTATTAAACACCAACCAGTAGGTGGCGAAAACTGGCAATAAAAAGCTTTTTGTTTGGCAGACTGGAGGTTAAAAAAGGAAAATGCACGCCTGTCAGATTCTTGATACAATCCCCAACCCATGCGTCTTGCTCTTTTCTCTTCCTGGTGCCACTTACTCTTACAATCCAAACAGGCAAAGCTGGCAAAAGGGTGGTCCATCTGCTCTTAACAGGGGAAGACATCTTGGAGAGTGCGTCCATTTGGAGGGCTGTTGATGGTCTCAGTCATGATTGAGGAGTCAAGCCCAGAACTCCTTCTGCTACCTCACCAGTACCCAAAGACACACAGTTCATTTTACACCCTTTCTAGGAATACTTTCCCTTGTTTAAAATGGATTCCAATAAGCACGGAATCTGAAGGGAAGAATGGTTTCACTCTCTCAGTTGGAAGAGCATAGAGACAATTCCCAGGGGATATACAGCCCTAGTCAAGGGCTGTAATGCAGACCTGCTCTGAGAGTGTTTGGTTAGAGTCAAGATGCCACTTATGGAATTACTCTGGGAAAATCCATAAAGTGAGGCTATACGGGTGCGAAGGAAAGGAAAAAATACCGAAGCATTTCTTCCTCTGAGAAGAGGGGGTTCATTTCCTTCCGGTTGCCCCTTGCACAGTACAATCTCTTTTCCAGCTTTACCCTCTCATTTCCTCACTTACAAGCTGGGTCTCAGGAGGACTGAGGCTTTCAACTTCTTTTCTTAAAAAATTTTTGAGGTTTAAGACAAGGTTCTGAGACAATCCCATATGGGCTCATTTAAACCATCGTTGTTGTTGTGGTTAGCTGCCTTTGAGTCACCACGGACTCATGGCCACCCCATGCACAATGGAAGGAAACTCTGCCTGGTCCTACACCATCCCCATGATCAGTTGGGGATCAGACTACTGTGGTCCATGGGGTTTTCACTGGCTGATTTTTTTGGAAGTAGATCGCCAGGCCTTTCTTCCTAGTCCATCTTAGTCTAGAAGCTCTGCTAAAACCCATTCAGCATCATAGCAACACACAAGCCTCCACTGACAGATAGGTGGTGGCTGTACATGAGGTGCGTTGGTCAAGAATTTGAACCCGGGCCTCCTGCATGGAAGCTGAGAATTCTACCACAGAACCACCACTGCCCCTCCTTCCCCACTTTAAATCATGATGTTGTGGAATTAACACACTTTTCTACTATTTCTATGCGAACTTATATCCAAGGTCAATCTTCACCCAATGTCAATCCCAGGCCAGAACACCTCCCTACCACTGCCCATAGGTCACAGCCATCAGAAGGCTGGGAAGGAACATCTTTCTTCATTCCCCTTGCCTGGGTAAGAAGTTCGTATAAGGTACCCATTCCTGTGTAAAAGACCTTAAACGCTGGCTGACTGGGTATAATAAATGAAATGAAAACAATTTGGTGTGCTCATTTTGCATAAGACTAAAGCTTTGATTTTTTTACTAGGAATTAGACAAAACATCAAAGATGGTGTCAGAACATATTTGCACACATTGTAGGACTCATTTGTCATGTTTCTATAACAATAACCCCCCCATCCCTATAAATTTCTATTTGAGGCTATTAAGTAAGGTGCTGTGCTTTTGGTGAACTTTTTTTTTCTTGGTGCTGTATTTGTCAAAGACTCTCAGAGAGAAAAATAGTTAAACATGTGCAACTTGTTTGTCCTCTTTGTCGTTTTTGCCTAGGGGCTATTCACGCTGCTGAACAAAAAAATGTGTGGGGTGTGTGTGTACATATATGTATGTGTGTGCACATATATGTACGTGTGTGTACGTGTGTGTGTGTAAAAATGTGTATGTAAACATATAGTAGCACTTGGCTGCTAACTGAAAGGTCGGCATTTTGAACCCACCAGCTGCTCCATAGGAGAAAGATGAGGCAGTCTGCTTCTGTAAAGATTACAGCCTTGAAAACCCGACGGGGCAGCTCTACTCTGTCCTATAGGAATCAAAAGCAATGAGTTTGGTTTTGGAGATACCTATCTATCTAGTATCTATCTCTCTTATCGACCTCTCATCCATCTACCTATCCACCTATCCAGTCAGTTTCAACTCATGGCAACCCCATGTGTCAGAGCAGAACTGTGGTCTGTAGGGTTTTCAAGGCTGTGACCTTTAAGAAGCAGTTCGTCAGGTCTTTGTTCAGTGGTGCCTCCGGGTAGATTCAAACTGCCAACCTTTAGGTTAGTAGCATTGGGTTAGCAGCCAAGTGTGTTTAACCGTTTGCGCTTATGTATATACATATATAATTTAAGATGCAGCCATCTAGGGTTGGCTGCTTGGCAGAGGTGGAGGCATTTACAAACCCACCAACCCCAGTGTTAATACGATTGTGGGCCTGTAAGTTGCCGTGTGGTCCTGCACAGTGTCCAGCCCCAACCCAGGGCGGAAATTGAGGAGCAGAGAAAAAACATTGGCTTAGCTATTGGAAAGCCCTTGATATCCTCCACTTACCCCTTCACTGGCCCACTGAGAGTTATGTCTGGCCTTGGTCACAGATGGTAGCTTCAGGTTGAAACCGGGCCGGAGGGTATGTGTGTATGTGTGTGTGTGAGTGTGCAGGCGCACGTGTGTGTACTGCATGGACACCTAGGAAGCAACTTGAAAGTCAACACGACGCTCTGGCGCTTCCCTCGCTAACGAATGTGCAGAATCTGTAGAGTCGCCTCTCTTCACCGGAGGGCAGCGCGGAGGTCCCCTGCTGGGGTCAGCACCGACCTCTGTCCTCCAAGGGCCGAGCGCTGTTAACACGCTGTGCACGTGCGCGCGCACAACACACACACCCACACACCCACCCACCCACACACACACTTCGAAAGGGTCGAAGCGAATCCCGGGCGCTTCTCCAGGGCTTGTTTTCATGGCGCAACACCCGGCGCTCCTCCGCGCTCTCCTGCCGGCCAGCAGCGTGCAGTCCCCGGCGCCGC